CCCTCCCCATCATCCAACCCCCACCTACCCACCCCAGGACCTCTCATCACCCACGCCTGTCCCCCCCCGCCCAGGTACCCCACGTGGTGGGTGCCCTCCATCTGCCCAAACTCGCTCCCTGGGGCCACCACGATCCCTGTTGCCTCCAACAGCTTGTGGCAGAAGAAGACATCGGGCTCCAGGCCCAGCTCCTGGGGACAAGGAATGGAACGGTCACCCTGTGCCATGGGGGGGGACACTGTCCCAAGGACACCCTGTGTCCTGCGGGTGACACATGCCATGGGTTTCTCTGGATCCCAAGGGCGTCCCTTGTCCCAGGGTGCCCCATGTCCCCAGGACACCCCATGCTAGAGGGTGCCCCATACTCCCATGGTGTCCTAAGTCCTTGGAGACCTCCATGTCCCCAGGGTGCCCCACATCTCCAGGGTGCCCAATACCACAAGGTGCCTTGTACACCCATGGTGTCCCATGTCCCCAAGATGCCCCACACCACAGGGTTCCCCACCCTCCTAGACTGTCCCATGTCCCCAGGATGGCTCCTGTCCCCAGGATGCCCCATGCTATGCCTTGACCCAAGTCCCCAAGATGTCCCATGTCCCCAGGATGGCCTGTGCTCCCATGATGTCCCATGTCCCGTGGTGTCCCATGTCCCCAAGACGCCCCACACCACAGGGTTCCCCACCCTTCCAGCCTGTCCCACGTCCCCAAGATGGCTCCTGTCCCAACATGCCCCATGCCATGCCTTGACCCAAGTCCCCAGGATGTCCCTTGTCCCCAGGATGGTCTGTGCTCCCATGGTGTCCCATCTCCCATGGTGTCCCACGTCCCCAGGATGTCTCCTGTCCCCAGGATGCCCCATGCTCTGCCTTGACCCAAGTCCCCAATATGTCCCACGCCCTCAGCATGCCCTGTGCTGCCATGGTGTCCCACCACCCATGGTGTCCCATGTCCCCACGTCCCCAGGATGTCTCCTGTCCCCATCCTGCCCCACTCCCCAGGTCCCCCCACCACCTCCCCGTCCCCCTGGGGCTCACCCGGGCCTGGCGCTGGGCGCGGGGCGGGAGCTGGATGCGGGGGAAGGCGCGGGCACCCCCCTGGAGCGGGGGGCAGTGGATGCCGGGGGCCCGGCCCAGCACCTCCTGCACCAACCGGGCATTGTGGGCCAGGTCCTGGAGCAGCCCCTGCCTCTGCTGGGGGGGGAGGGGGCTGAGCTGGGTGGTGGGATGGGATGGAGATGATGGGGATGATGGGGATGATGGGGATGGGATCACCCACCTCCTCACAGGCTGGGTAGGAGGGGTCACTGGGCAGTGGGGGCTCCATGGCCATCTCCAGCATCACCTGCCCCAGGATGGAGGGATACACCGAGAACCCCCACGTGGGGAAACACTTCAGGACGCTCGGGTCGATGTTCACCAGCTCAAAGAAACCTGCTCGGAAACCACCCCTGGGGGAGCAGCGGGATGAAAAGGGCTGGAAAAAATGGGGTTTCAAGAGAGGTAGGGGGGGGCTTTGGGGGTCATTCTTACCCCCCGACGCCCTTGGAGAGGGGGAGTAGAAGGAGATGAGCTGGACGGTGGAGGAGAACGGGGCACCCATCTCCCACAGCACCCGCTTGAAGGAGAGGAAGGGGCGGTCGGAGGTGGCCACGTTGTCCTGGAAGACCTAGAGCACCCCAGGGCTGAGTGGGACTGGGGTTTTTTGGGGGGCACAGCCACCCCTCAACCCCAAACAGCACCCACCTCATCCGCCAGCAGCAGGAGGTTCTCCTCGGCCACCAGCCGGATGATGTCCTCCATGCTCTGCCGGCTCAGCACGTGTCCTGCCGGGGTTGGGGGGAGCCCAGGGGTTGAAGAGGGGGAGACAATTGGGGAAACTGAGGCAGGGGGACCCCTCCAACCCCCCCTCCAACCCCCCCAAACTCACCGGTGGGGTCTCCAGGGTTGACGACGCAGAGCACCTTGGGGTGCCACCTCTCCCTCGCCCGCCCCAGCACCCGCCGCACCGTCTCTGTGTCCACGTCCCAGCCCCGCTCCTCGGCCAGCGGGTACGGCACGGCCACGGCCCCCGCCAGCCCCGTAGCCCCCCCGAGGAGCGGGGGGCCCGGTACCGGCACCAGCACCCCCGTGGGCACCGCCGCCCTCTCGTCCACCACCAGCGTCAGAACGTCCTACCGGGAAGAAGCCACCGGTGGCTTGTGGGGTGCTCCTCGGTGTCCCCCAATGAGGTGCCACCACTCGTGTGTGTGTCCCCCCCCCCGTGGCACCGCCGCCCTCTCGTCCACCACCAGCGTCAACACATCCTACCGGGAGGAAGCCACCAGTGGCTTGTGGGGTGCTCCTCGGTGGCCCCCATGGAGATGCCACCACTAGTGTGTTCCCCCCCCCGTGCCACACTCACCACCATGGCAGCCGCGGTGCCACCGCAGGGCACGATGCAGCGGGGGTCACTGGGGGTCCCACCGTCCCTTCTCTCCAGGTATCGGGCCACCTTCACCGCCACCGTGTCCATGACGTACTCCAGGTTGTACGCCCCTGGGGAGGGAGCCAGGATCACCCCACCGCGTCCCACTCCCCATCTATGGGGCTGTGTCATCTCCCCCACCCCATGGCATGTCCCCCACCCCATGGCATGGCTGTCCCCCCATTCTCCATACCTGGGCTGCCACCTTGGAGGTGTCTCAGGACTTGTGCCGCCCGGCGTTTGGCATCCTCGGGCAGGAACCCAGCACCCAGCAGCTGGGGGTAGGCGCAGATGGCAGCCACCTGCAGGAATCCAGCCCCCCCACCATGGTCACCATCACCCCTCCGCCCCCCAACATCCCAGGGTCAAGATCTGACCCCCCCACCTCCACCCATCCCCATGGTTCTGGGGGGATGCTGAAGGTCACAGATCCATGGTGGTGGGTTGGGTTGATGTTCAACCCATTCCATGGTTGTGGGGTGGATGGAGGAGGTGGGGGGGAAGGGGAGGACGGCTGTGGGGCACCCCCCAAGTGGAGGCAGCCGTGGGGCTCCCCGTTACCTGTCGGAGGAAGGTGAGAGGCTGGGGG